GGGGGGGGTCGTGATGATTGAGAATGTTTGGCGCGTTAAAGGGGGCGGGTGTGCTATACACTAGGCCCGCAGTGACCGAAAACATAAAGTTGCGTGAAAAAAAAGCAGAGATCGATCGTATCGTATCGTCAATGAGCGTGTCGCTTCTCCGGTGCCCTTGGTCTTGTCGCGGGACGTACTGTACCGTGGCGCCCCGTGGCACGTCTTGATATCGCTACCTAGCGCTGTACACTTCCATAACATACGTACAACATGTAACAGGGCAGCATGTTGTTTTATGTGTGGTTGGCCCCTTGCCGTCGAGCAGGCAGGTGTTCTGCGCCGCGGAGGGTAGAGAGCTGGTCGTGTACGACGCCGAGAGCGATTCGAACGCCGGACTGCCGCCGCGCGCAAGGTACCTCGTGATGGGGGTGCGTGCCCTCAAGACAGGCCCCAACGCCGCGGAACTAGAGGTAAGAAGAGGGATAAGAAGAGGTAGAACCGGCATATGCACAGGCGTTTGCCGAATGATTCGCCAAGAAAATAGGTGAAACGTGCTTGGCCATGTTGTGTGGTGTGTGTGGATGTCAGAAGAGGGAGAGAAATGGCGTACTCGGGCTTGCGACAAGATTCGCTGAGCGAAGATGGCACTTGGTTTGCATTTTTTTGTGTGTGAGTCAGATATCGTATGTCCATTGTTTGTTGTCGTTGGTATTCCTATTTTAGACCTTCGCTCGCAAAGTGGTTTTGCCTCTTGCGCACCCTTCGGCCTTGCCTCTCTGTAGCCGTACGTTCGACAGCGTCTAAAGAAGGATAGCAATGCGTCCCGCATAGACGGACAGAAACAACAAAGGCCAACGATTCCACGCCGTAGAATGCCGCGTGTTTGGTTGATTCGCCTAGTACACGTACATGCACACAATAGGTCAAAAAAGGAGCCGGAGGGGGGGGGCATGGTGGGACTAAAAAATGTCAATACTCGATGATACTCGAGCAGGTGACTGTTGCCGATGAGTCGGAGGTGTCGAGTCTCGGCTGGAGGGAGCGCGCTTCGACGGGCCCGGGCGTCGCGTTCGTGGAGACCCGGTCGGTGACCCTCACGGCCTCCGGACGGCACGAGCACGCGCGGTGGTCGCTGGCTCTAGAAGAGGCGCAGAGCTGGACGGAGAAGAAAGAAAGAGAGGTCGGCGTTTGGTGGAGTGCGGCGTGAGGCGGGGGGGCTGTCTCTTGCTTGCCGGGTAGGGTTGTGAGTGCAAGCCGTTTTGAACCTATGGAAGACTTTTTGTTGGCCCCTTTCCNCGAGGCCGCAGCGAGGCAAGAGCGGATGGGGAGGGCTCTTTTGGAGCGCGAAACGGAGAGTCGAAACTCGAAGGCATGAACCACAGTTTCTATTGCCTGTTTCTGTATTCTCTCTCTCTCTCTCTCTCTCTCTCTCTCTCTCTCTCTCTCTCTCGCTCGCTCGCTCGCTCTCTGCGCGACAGGCGTTACTGGAAGAGCTGGAGCTTAGCCTTCCGTTCCGCGAGTACGCGATTGAGCACGTGCACCATCGCTTGCCAGACTCAACAATCGAAGATATCCTAGGGGTGTCCACCGCCATGACCAACCCCGGATGCGTGCTGAAGGTGCTTCTTGTGTTCTTGCTTCGTTCGGAGGGAAGCCCCTTTGCGTTGTGTGCGCTTGCCGCCTCTATCTACTTGAGGCTCGCTCGACCGTTGCCGCTTTGGGGCTTGCAACCCGTGGCTGGTGTAACACGTGTGTCTGTTGGACGCACAGTGTCTGTTCGACCCACAGAGTGTCTGTTCGACCCACAGAGTGTGACTAGGAGGTTTTGACCTAACGTTGTCGTGCGGGAGGTATACTCACAACGGTTGCAGGTTTGGCAGCGAAAAGAGGACCTCAGCTGGCGTGGCATATCTTAGAGGCTAACACCGGGCTTGTGCACATCAGGCACCTGCATTTCTTTAAACCAACCTTCCGATGTCTGGTGTGCGTTGAAGAAAGGTTCTATCGAGGTGTCTCTCTTTTTTGCAGGTTTGGTGCATTCTTTTTCTCCTTCCTTCACGCCAGACCCACACAACCTCGCGTTCGTGCGCATCACAACAGAGCGTGGTGTTCGATGCCGCCGAAGCGGCAGCGTCGGCAGCGGAAGCAGCAGCACCGGGACCCCTGAGCTCTCCGGAGCTGACGGCGGGAAGCGGCGGCGGCGGCGGCGGCGGTGGCACTAGGAAGCTCACTGTTGCGCCGAGTGCCTCGCTGCGCGGACTTTTCTCCTTCTTCGAGTCTTCGGCCCGATCCCCGCCACCCCCTCCTCTTGGCGATGAGACGAGCTTCGGAGAGTGTACCTCAGCCGGCGGCAGCGGTTCCAGGCGGCGCTGGAGGGGAGGGCGCAGGAAAGGGAAGCAGCAAGACGACGGTGGCGGCGGCGGCCGGTCCCGCCGGCGGCGTGGAGCAAGCCGGGGGGAGTCGCCGCTCTCGTCGTGGCACGGCCGCGGCGGCGGCGGCCCTGCGAGGCGGCGGTCCGGGAGCACCGGTGACGTTGTCGTCGACTTTGGGAGCCCGGGGGGGGGGCGGCGGCATTCCATGGTCGTCGTCGACGGCGGCGGTGGTGGAGGCTTGACGGCGCCCTCATTCAGCGGTAGCGCGGGCGCGGCGACGGGCGCGGGCGCGGGCGGCGGGGTTGTGGACAGCGTCTTCGTCGGTGGCGGGCACGTGCTGTGCCGCACTCGTTCTAGGTGAGCTTTTCGGGAGGTTTGTTTATTTCGGGGGGGGGTGCTAGGAGTATCTTTTCGAGACGTGGCTCTCTCTATCTCGATCGCGATCGCGGTAAGAGGAGCAGCGACAACCAAGAGCGTCGTGCTTGTAAGCTTGCCGATTTCTTTGTTGCCATGTGCAACAGCTAGCTTCGTTACACCTACAAGTACTCTTTGTGTGTTGCGGTAGTGTGCACCATCTTCTCGTGTGGGCTTCGGAATTGATCGTACCCGCAGCAAAGACGCTCTGTTTGACACCCTTCTTTCGCCCCTGGCATCCGTCTTGGTCGTCTCCAGTGACCAAGGTATTGATAGTCTACTGCTTTAGAGGGGTACGGGCTCGCGGTGGCGGTCAGCCGCTCGTGCGACGGCTGCCGCCGTTCGCAACACGAAAGGTGGAGCTACAAAGCGGGCAAATCTCCCCGGCCACATGCGCACGTACACTGCCGACGCCGCCTTGCGTGGAAAACCCATTAGTATGCGCGGCAAGGTTAGAGGCCAACAGCAGTAAAAAAGCGCACAATACAACCAGCCGCTTACTTACGTACGGCGGACACGTTCGTCTCTTCTTCCAACCCGTTGCCGTGTTGTATGTATCATGCCGTACTACCGTCTCTGAACAAAAAATCGTGCCAATATTGTTACACAGCTCGGCGCCCGGGCCCGTCTCCGACATCTTTCACCTAGAAGCGGCGGACACTCCGGCAGCAACGGGGGCGGCGGCTGCAGCACCGGAAGCACCGGCGGCGGCGCCGACGCTGCTACGGAACCACAGGCGCGCGCGTTTCCCCAGCCGCGAGCGGTCCGTCCTCCTCGACTTCGTCCCTGCGGCGATGCCTCTCGCTCGCGATCCCTCGGAGCACGCGCACGCGTCGGGGACCGAGTCTTCGGCGCCGTCGACCCCGATCGGCGGCGACGGCGGCCGCTTCCGCCGCGCGAGCAGCAGTAGGTCTCGTCGGCTGGACAGCTTCCGCCCGGTGAGGGCGGCCTCGGGTTTCCAGCACCTCCTTCGGCACGGGGATAGCGGCGGCGTTGGCGGCGGCGGCGGGACGCGACGCTTCGGTAGTGGCAGGGTTGGGGGGGGGGGGGGGGGGGGGGGGGGGGGGGGGGGGGGGGGGGGGGGGGGGGGAGGATCACCCGGGGAAGGGCTGTTGGGGGTTCCCGCTCAGGTCGGTGGAGAGTCGATGCTTTTTTGGCACCTGGTTGGGACCGGCGGGAGTGCACCGGCGGAGTGGGACGCTCTTCGGACGGGTTCGGGGAGGTTCGAGCGGCGGCTGCAGCAGAGGCAGCAGCTCCATCCGCGGCACGGTGGCGGCGGCGGCATCAACCCCTCCCTTGCGAGGCGAGTTTCTTTTTTTGGTAAATGTCCAATGGGAGGAAATGCGCGCAGAGGGAGAGCGAAGCACGGGCACAAGACAGCCAAAGGGGCATGACGGGTGTCGTGTCTACCGTTCCGTCGAATACGTATGTTACTGTAGGTTCCACGCAACCTAAGCTACACAGCAGCCAAAGGCGCCAGCAAGAGCAAAACCGCAACAGGCCAGATAAGAAGGGCTTTCACATGAGCTTCTGAGTAGGATGCGAGGACCCGAGTTGTTGGCACCACCACCGCCACCAACAACGCCGACAGCGGCACAGTACGCTTTCCTTGCACCTAGTCTCCACTCTCCAGCCCAGCCCACCCCAGCCCACCCCCCCTGCCCCGACCCGTACCATTTACCACGAAATTCGACAACAACAACAGACGGCCGTCGGCGTGCCTGGCGTCGGCCTCGGGTATGGGCTCCTCTGACGCCGCTCTTTCCGGGGGAGGCGGCGGCGGGGGAACGAGAACTGAAGACGTCCAAGTCGGCGTGGAAACGTCTCGAGAGAGCTCCTCGACCGCTGCCGCCGCGGACAAGACCTGGGAGCTGTGGCCCGACGACGGGCTGATGCCACCCTTGCCGCCCAGGAAGAAAAGCTTGTGGGTCAGCAAGCCGAGCCCACGCAGATGTGCCGGCGGCGGCGGCGGCGGTGACGATGATAGTTTCTCTTCGCTGGTGATCGTAAAAGGCGGGGAGGAAGGGTTCGGAGGACGCGGGGGAGGGGACTTAAGCGTAGGCGTGCCATCAGCAAGCGGCAGCGATGGCGAATGCGGCCGGCCCTCGGATGGCCAAGTCGTCACTCTCTCGGGCTTGCCGGGCCCTAGCGCCTGCGAGGGGGAGGCGGCGGCTGCGGCGGCGGTGGCGGCGGCGGTGGTGGCGGCGGCGGTGGTGGCGGCGGCGAAGCCTGCCGAGACCACGGAACCATCCTCGCATGAAGCTGAAGCTGCCGACGTCACGGAACCTTCTACTCAAGAAGTGGATCCTGCCGAAGGCGCCGAGCCTTGCATGAAAGAAGCCAAAGCTTCCGAGGCCACGGAACCTTCCACGGAAGTGGCCGAACCTGCCGACGTCACGGAACCTTCTACTCAAGAAGCGGAACCTGCCGAAGGCGCCGAGCCTTGCATGAAAGAAGCCAAAGCTTCCGAGGCCACGGAACCTTCCACGGAAGTGGCCGAACCTGCCGACGTCACGGAACCTTCTACTCAAGAAGCGGAACCTGCCGAGGGCGCGGAACCTTGCATGAAAGAAGCCAAAGCTTCCGACGCCACAGAACCTTCCACGCAGGGAGTGGAACCTTCCGAGCCCGCGGAACCCTCCACGAGAGCAACGAAACTTTCCGAGCCCGCGGAACCTTCCACGAATGTAGAGGAATCTTCCGAGGTCACGGAGCCTTCCACGCAGGGGGTGGAACCTTCCGAGCCCGCGGAACCCTCCACGAAAGCCTCGGAACACGTGGGATCGGCGCGGCTGGCGGGTTTTGCCATGGGAATCGATGGGGAGGTCGACAGCGCTACCCTTGAGGTAAGCGTTTGGCGAAGATAAGTTTAGCCGCACATACATTGCGTGGGACCGGCCGGGGTAAGCCTGCCAGACTATTCCAAGAAACCGGGGTACCGCGATGGGGCCGGAGTCATGGGGTGGGTGTGATAACTGTGTGTACCCACGAGCCACGAACCAGGCTGTTGAAAAGGGAGGAGGTGGGGGAGACGAGCCGGTGGCGGAGCAAAGGGAGGAAGAAATTTTGATGGGTGACGTCGTTCCTGGCGTGTGGAGGACGTACGTACTGCTGTATGAATGGGCGTTGAGTGCAGTGCGTCGAGGCCGACGTGAAAGAGGTGACGCGTGCTGCTGTGTTGTACGTCGTATTTTATGCAGCTTGCTCCCCGTCCCTGGCGGGGGAAAATGCAAGGCAGACAGCACCTTGTTCCAAACTCTTGAGTGCCATACCTTCCCCCCCCCCCGCCCCCACGTCTCTCTCTGTGTGTCTCCGCATCATTTCTCGCCCCTTAGCTCAAAGCCCTCCCTCTGTACGCCTGTGCCGTTACGCTTCCTTCCTGCCCCCTCTGCGCCAGGTGATGAGCCAACTTGCTGGTTGCGTCGCCTCCGGTACCAGCCGCTTTACCATCGCGGGAGTTACGCCGGAACAACATGAGCAGAATCAGCAGCAGCAGCAGCAGCAACCCTCTCGCGACGGCAACGAAGGTAGCGACGACGAGGACGTCGACGATAGCGGAGGGGGCATCTGCCCACCGCCGGAAATCCGTTCTCTATCAGCCAGGCACCGCTAAGACCCCAAGGGGGGGGGGACACGCCCGTGTCTAGCAGGAAATTGGCACGGCAAGCAGCCCTGCAGGCCTTTATGTCTCTCCGTTGCTGGTTGTCCTGCCTGTTTGCCCTTCGTAGTTTTTCGGAGTATTTTAAGAAGACGGGGTGCTATCCCACATGTATGTGTGCGTGTTGTAGTTTGTCTTGACACCAAACGATAAAACCGTTGTGTGTCGTGCATTGTTTTTTTTTGTGCGTTTTATTTTCTCCTCCTCGTGTGTGCTTGGCTCTTGGAGGTGCCAACGGCAGTGAAGCGTGAGATATTCCGCCGCTTGTAGCGGCTGAATACTCTTGATAGAGAGGGGCAAAGGAGCTGCAGGATCGGAAGGAACGAAGTGACAACAAACGTTTCTCTGCACGTGTCACAAGGGCAGCCGACACGATGCCAGCGAGGTTGTACGACGCAACTAGAAGTTTCTTCTAACACAAAACCACCAACACGCTTTCGTTTTTTTTGTTCTGTTTTCTAGGGTTGGATGAGAGAAGCCCTGCCTCTCGGTTTCGTTCGCAGCCAGGGTGGTGGCTTGCATGTTGTGAGACTTTAGCATGTCGTAGGATTGCGTGTCGAGACTTGGAGCGTCGTGGGAGTAGCAGCGGAACAATCCGCGGTAGTGTTGGCTGTCCAAACAAGGTTTTCTGGCTTCTGCTTGAGCTGTTTGGAGTACGTTACCCTGGTGTTGGCTATTCTATGTATCCAAACAAGGTTTTCCGGCTCTTGCTTGAGCTGTTTGTTGTGGTTGTAATTAGCTGGAAGGATTTAGCGAAAGTTGGTCTGTCGGAGGTGCAGTGAGATGGGGGCAAGGTCTAAGGCATGGCCGTTGTCGGTCGATGGTGAAGCATCCTCCCTCGCGCGTGCGCCGGAAAAATAGCAGGAAGAACAGCAATACCCTTACGGATTGGTTTGTCTCTTGCGTTGTTGTTTTTTTTGTGGGAGAGAATGGTCGTTTTCAGCGGGAGAGAAAGAAGAGGAGAAAGGCCAACACTCTTGTCTGTGCTCTCGTTACCTCCCGTAGGCAGAAGTGGTTCCAGCACAAGGTCTCCACTGGAAACACACCTCAATTGACCGGAGCAAAGAGCGACGAATTATGACATGTGTGGGGCGCATGGTCATGGAATACCGAGTTGATTTTCGGTGCCAAGGTTGTAAGGAGTAGTCTATATTGTATTGTACATTTGGCGGCATGCCTTTGCCCACCGGGTTTTTTCTTTTTTTGTTGTTTCGCAATAAGCAGCGCGCGCTTCTCTTGTAGTAAATAGTATCGCGCTTGCTAGTTTCGAGTCTAGCAAGCCGACGTCTTGTCTGTTCTCTTCCGTGCTGATGTCGGTTGTGTCCTTGTGTGCCGTGCAGTTACAGTACAGTAGCTTCGGAATTGCGCCGGTCCATTTGGTTTTCTTGTTGATGATTCGGGAGCTTGTTATGAGGTGCGTTTGTTACCGTCCATCTATACTGCAGCACGTTTGTCTTGGTCGTGTCTCTCACAAATCTTACCACATGTACGACGTTAGCACACACTACACGGCAGTATTTATGTTCTTACGGTGGGAAGGTCGACGTGCCATTGCCACTCAGTGCATACAGCAGCGTGAAGTACAGTACCACCCCACCGGTTGGTCGGAGGTATATGCGTGTTTTTGTTGTCAACGATAAAAAATGGGATCCTGCAGCAGATTCACCTCTTTTGTCGCGTCTTTTCCGCGATCCCTTCGTTCGTTGTTTTGGGCCTCGTCTTGTACCTGTTTGTGCATGTCATGCGCAGGGTACACGTGTGCGGATTGCCGGGGGGGTGCCTGTAGCAATGTAGCACTTAACGGATATAGACGATTGCGCTCGTTTCCACGTTTTGTTCTTTTTTTCTATTTTTGACGTGTCATATATTTTAATATTTTTAGTCTTGCACATACCTAGATGGTAGTAGAGTCCATTTTTGTTGCGTTGTTGCGTTTTGAGAATAAAAGCGTATCGATCTTGTTCCGTCCTGTCCATGACGGATGATGATAAATGATGGTGGTCTTTTTGTTGTTGAGTTTTTAAGAGAACTGAGTTGTTAGTTGTTAGTGAGGCGTCGTGCTTGGCTTCGTCCGTAGTTTTGGTTTGATTCGCTTAGTCCGAAGGAAGTACGATTAGAAACTAGTCTATCCAGCTAGAGGAAGACGAGAGGGAGGGAGGGGCGGAGGTACAGAGAGGGAGGGAGGGACAGAGAGGGAGGGAGGCAGACAGGCAGGGAGAGAAAGAGAGACCGCTCGGCCACAAATCAACGTATCAGCTGGTTGGCGCTGAAAGACATGAGGTTCCGAACAACGGATCTTGGCGAGTGTTGAGAACCTTCTCGGATATCCTATGGATACTTGTGGTTGTATTTTAGTGTGCAGCAGGATATGTAGCTTTCGATCATCAACCGACGGAAACACGGTATTGTGTTCGTTTCCCGCAGGAAAGAGGAGAAGGGCTGCTTTCTTATGTGCAAGGCGACAGCAACGGGGCAAACGCCGCCTGCTCCCTCCCGTGCAAAAAATGGAATCGAAGGAATGGAGAACTTTATTTGTGCGCTTGCGTGGGGAGAAGAAGACTCCTGACCCCGTCCGTGGTGATCCAAGACACGATGGTCGGTGTGGTCTGTGTTCATCCCATCCGTTACGGCGCCAGTCTAGATTCTTTCGGTGTACGATTCCGATCTATCATCAGCCGGGGTCACGGGACACTGTTGTATGGAAGGTCCACACAGACAGACGGTACATAGCCTCGTTTTTTCTTTTTTCTTGTTTTTTTCGTGGTGCATTGTATGCCGTACCTGTCGTCCTGCTGCTGGTGCCACTTGTTATTTGTGTATGTGTGTGTATTCGATCCGTTCCCCTCTCCCAAGCCAGTCAAGGAACCCTAAGGCCTTGTCGTTCCAGTCAGGGGTACCCCGGCCTCGTCGTCGTGAACTCCACTGCCCATTTCCCCCCCCCCCATCCCCCTTCGCAAAAAGATCCCCCTTCGCAATCTAGACTTCAGTGGGTTGGCGCTGTTGGCAAAGCGCTGTAAAACACGCCACCCCAAATATAGCCCCCATAGTATGCGCTACCAAAGACGCGTGACGCATGGATGCGTGGAGTGAGGATTGCTTACGGAAACATCACAGATTGAGTGATGTAGGAGATTGCCGGACACATAGACGTGTTGAGTGA